AATTATTTTCATGAAAGCCTAAACAGACATATACTAGGGCAGTGTGACTCTTTGGCTAGATTTGTCGCCTAACTTGAAGGTGAAAACAGAAGTTCTTTTCAGTGTATGATGTGTTCATCAGCTCTGAGTCTACTGATACTTTATATATAGTCATATGTAGCTTAACCATGGGGGTAAATTCTGAGAAGTGCTTCATCAGGTGATTCTGTCTTGAGTGGATGTCATAGGGTGTAGTTGCACAGACCTGGCTGGCACATTCCACTGCACACCTAGGCTGCTTCCGGGGCCACTGTCACATGCAACTGCCACCTAATGAAGCGTAATTATACAGTGCATACTGCTTTTCCATAGCTGATTCTCAGTAAACATTAATTTCAGGTGTATAATATCTGGGCTCATAAATGGAGCTCCCGTTGTATTCATGTAGTTTGGTTTATATGAAGAATGTTTTTCCTCAGCAACAGATATATATATATATATATATAGTGATAGATAGTGCACATGCTTTCAGTGTAAGTTGAAAATTAAATTGCATCAAAGAATTTATCTTCATTGTTAAATTGTATACATTTAAGCTAATGTAAAATGTAAGTCAAATATTTATTCTATAGCTGTGGATTTTCTTATGATAGTGTATTAGTACCTTAAGTGATTTTCATATGTAAATATCGTTGTGTGAATTACTTTGATTTTGGTCTTTTGCAGCTGGGGGTGTGGTTTTCTCTCGGTTGTGCCTATTTAGCCTTGGAAGACTATGGAGGTTCAGCAAAGGCGTTTCAGCGTTGTGTGACACTAGAGCCCGACGTAAGTTTGTTTGACTTTCTTTTTACTCTATCTCGCTAATATTTTCTAAGTTACTTAATTTGTACTGTAGTCCAGAGTAGCAATTCATGTGAGCATATATTTTCAGTTAGACAAGCTGAATAAATTCTAGAGAGCTGCTGAACAACATTGTATGCCCTCAGCAATTCTATGTTATGCATTTAAAACACTGTAAAGAGAGGAGATCTCATGTTAACTATTCTAATTAGAATAAAAAGAAGGAAATAGAAGACAAAATATTAAAACGCAAATTTTCTATTTTTTATGTTAAAAAAAGGAACAGCTAGCTATTCCCTTTGTGTTGGAGGAAAGTGTCCCTTTGATACAAGTTCACATCTTCACATATGATTCATAAATCTACAATCAAGTCTCTTTTTTTGGTAGCTAAGTTATTTATAGATCCATGTAGAAAATAATTTTGATGAAAGTGGTCAAAAATTCACTTCAAAGTATTTAAGAGGTTCTCAGATATATTTTGTTATCGTTAATATACACTGCCTTTGTTAACTGCATTGTTAGGAAGATCTTCTAGTGTGTAGTCTTTTTGTATTTAATAGCTTTTCTGAGATGGTAAACAATTCACATACTGTATAGTTCATCTGTTAAAAGTGATGGTTTTAGTATTTTCAAAATACTAATTTTTCAATATTTATCTATCATCATAAATAACTGTAATATATTTTCATACTCATGAGAAGAAACCCCTGTACCCATGAGCCGTTTCTCTCCACTTCTCCCAAACATCTCCCACTTTCCACCCCTCAGCCCAAGCCCAGCAACCACAAAAGTTCTTGCTGTCTCTGTAGATTTGCCTATTCTATTTCATCAAAATAGAATATACTATGATACAAGGGTTTTTTTGTTTGTTTTTTTTTTGTAGCTGGTTTCTTTCACTTAGATTAATGTTTTCATGGTTCATCCAGACGGTGGTGTGTATTATCAGTACTTCATTATTCAACACTTTGTTTGGCAAATAACATTCCCTTGTTTGGTCATACCATTTTATTTATCCATTTGTCAGTTGAGGGACAATTAGATTGTTTCTATTTTTAGCCTATTATTAATCACTGCTTTGAACATCCATTTACAAATTTTGTGTGTGTACATATATTTCCATTTATGTTTGCTATATAACTGGAAGTAGAGTTACTGGTTCATATGTTCTATGTTCAAAATTTGAAAAACTGCCAGACTATTGTCTAAAACACCATTTACATTCCCACCAGCAATGTATGGGTATTTCTATTTCTCACATATTTGTCCACATTTGTTATTATCTGGTTTTGATTATAGTTATTCTGTTGGGTGGTATCTCATGGTTTTAATTTGCATTTCCTTGACGGCTAATGATGTTGAACATATTTTTATGTGTTTATTGGCTATTTGTGAGTCATCTTAGGATGTTTATTTACACCCTTTGTTCATTTAAAAAAATTTTTTTTTGCCTTTTTGTTGTTGAGCTGTAAGAAATCTTTATTCTTTAAAGACTTTTGTCAAATATTTTTCCCATTCTCTAAGAAGTTTTTCACATTTTGGTTGTGTCTTTTGAGGTACAAAGGTTTTTTTATGTTGATGAAGATCAACTTATTTATTTTTTCTTCTGTCAGTGTTGTATCTAAGAATCTATTGTCAAATCCAAGGCTATGAATATTTTTCATCTCTTACCTTTTTTTCTAAGAGTTTTATTGATTTAGCTCCTACATTTAGGTTAAAGTACTAGTTAATTTTTTTATGTACAGTGTGAGGAAACGGCCCAACTTTATTTTACATATGGCTATCCAGTTTTTACAGATTCATTGTTTGAAGATTCCTTTTCTTCATTGAATGATTTTGTTATCCTGGGCAAAGACAGTTGACTAAATGTAAGAGTTTATCTCTAGACCCTTAATTCTATTTCATTAGTCTATATGTCTGTCTTTATGCCACTTGTTTACTAAAGCTTTAGAGTAATTTTTGAAATTAATAAGTATACCAACGTTGTTCCTCATTTTCAAGATTGTTTTGACTTTTAAGGGTTTTTTTAAATGGTATATTACTTTTAGGATCAGTTTTTTAAATTTCTGCCCCAAAAAGACAGCTGGGATGTTGGTAAAGATTACAAGTTCATGTGGGAAGGATTGCCATCTTAACAGTATTAAATCTTCTAAACCATAATTGTAGACTGTCTTTCCATTTACTTAGGTCTTTATTTCAACAATATTTTCTATTTTTCACAATGTAAGTTTTCCCCTTTTATGTTAATTCATTCCTGTTTTATTCTTTTGAATGCTATTATAAAGGGAATTGATTTTTTAGTTTTATTTTTGAAATGTTCACTGCTAGTATATAGAAGCACAATTGGCTATGTGTTTTAATCTTGTGTTTTGCAACTTTACTGAACTTGTTTATTAGTTCTGGTTGGTTTTATTTATTTATTTAGTGGACTCACTTGGATTTTTCTATATAAAAATTTATGCACATAGAGACAAGTTAACTTCTTCCTTCCCAATCCAGGTGCCTTTCTTTTTCTGGCCTGAATTGCCTGGCTAGCCCTTTCAGTGCAATACTGAATATAAGTGGCAAAATCCAGCCTCTCTGTCTTGTTCCTGGTCTTTGCAGGGAACCTTTCATGTTTTTACCAATAAGTTTATTGTTATTTGTAGGTTTCAGGAAGGTGCCCTTTCTCTGGTTAAATAAGTTTCCTTCTACTCCTAGTTTGTGAGTAGAGGGTATTAGCTTTCATCAAATGGTTTTTCTTTGTTGAGATGATTATGTAGTTCTCTTCACATCCCTTTATTCTGTTAATGTATTTATTACATGGATTAATTTTTGGCCATTGAAACAATGTTGCATTCCTGACAAATTCCACTTGATCATATTATAGAATTCTATTAATATGCTGCAAGATTTCATTTCATGCTAGTATTTTGTTTTATTTTTGTGTCTATAGTCCTGAGTGATAGTGGTCTGTTTTCCTTTTTCCTCTTTGTCTGAATTTGGTTTTAGAATATACTTGTCTTATAGATTAAGTTGGTAAGTGACTGACCCTCTTCAGGTTTTTTTGGCAAGAATATGTAAAGGATTGGTGTTAATTCTGCATTAAATATTTCATCGAATCTGGATTTTTCTTTATGGGAAGGTTTTTGATTATTAGTTCTTTTTCTGTACTTGCTGTAAGTTTGTTGAGCTTCCCTTTCTTAATTGGGACACTTTTGATAGTTTGTGTCTGTCTAGGAGTTTGTCCATTTCATCTAGGTTATCCTAATGTATCTTATTGTTGGCATACAGTTGCTTATAGTTTTTTTCTTTAAAAATATTTTTGTATTAAGGTATAATCTTTGGGGGGTGAAACTTAATGCCATTGAGGATCAACAGGGACCCTTGACACTTGTTGCTTGGAATTTGTGACCTCTAGAATCGCCATTCAGCTTCCAGCTCCCTGGTAGTTCTCTGACGTTTTGCCCTATACATGTGCTGCTTAGTCAAAGACTCAAGAAGATGCTTGTTGAGATTTCTGGGGTTCCTTCTCTGTGTAGATCTTTCTTCCCTAATATTTTGCCCTGCAAATTCTAGCTACTTTTCAGGACTAAACTCTGATCTCTTTTCCTTCATTCAGTAAGACTTAACTGTGCTCTGTTCGGCTTCATCTGCAGCTCTGAAAGTGTCTGGCGGGGAGCCAGTTTGATTGTTGAGATGCCTCAGTTATTGCTGTCCTCTCAAAGATCACAGTTCTGTGCTCCTGTTGCAAGCTTCTCAAAACAGTTGCTTGCTAATTTTTTCCTCAAATTTTAACTTATTATAGCGACAAGACTAGTCTTGTACTATGTCTACAAGGAGGGGTCTACTGCTTCTTAATTTTTAAATTGTTTGTATAGAACTTGACAACTATATATTCTAGATTTATTAAGAAATGGAACAAAGAAGAATATATATCATTCACACAGTTCTTATCAATATCAATATGGACTTTGCTTATATAGACATTGGTTTATTTATATAGTTTTTGTATAAAGGAGTATGTCTGATTGAGATAATATTTAGGAAGAACATTGGAGAACAGTGTTCCTTTATTCCCCTATCTGATGAACGATGATGGTGGAATAACAAAGCCCTTTAAGATAGGAAAAGCAGTATTTTCACTGCCTAGGATTTATAATAAATGTACATGTTGCATAAATTATGTTGGAAGTAGTTTGACTTTTTGTGATTCTAAATTTGGAATTAAAATCTTAACTTTATTCTGATTTAGTACTATAATACCTATATCATTTTGTTGATTACTTTTGTTTTTAGTTTTAAATTATAAAAAGTAAGTTGAATTTTTTCATACACCCTCAACATACCTCACTGAAAAATGTGATTATATAAGAGTACATCTCTGACTAGGAAAATATGTTTTATTTTTGGCTACAGTCATTATTTTATGTGAGAATCACCTCACATAATCATTTCTTGATCATTTCAGAATGCTGAAGCCTGGAACAACTTATCAACTTCCTATATACGATTAAAACAAAAGTAAGTACATCAGAAAAATATGAAAAACTTTGCTTTCAGAGTAAGTGGACAGTTTTCTTCAGTGGATTCCTGAAACATTGTGCCTTTCCTTCGTTTTTCTTTGCCCACTCACATGTTTGAATTAGATTGACTTTATATATGTATTTGGATTCTAAATGTAGTTTATATCTTTAAAATGTTCAGTATGTAATAAATATGGTTTGAACTGTCTGATATCAAACTTTCATTTCCTCAATTTCATTATATGTTGCTCAGCTCATTTGATAGATTCTTACTGATTACTTGCTGTGTGCAAGATGTTACTGAGAAGTATGAGCAAGATTCTTACTGATTACTTGCTGTGTGCAAGATGTTACTGAGAAGTATGAGCAAGAAATATGTGCAAGATGTTACTGAGAAATATGAGCCCAGTGTGTTTTCAGGAGATTTGTTTAAGAAATAAAATAATATGCCCGTTTTAAAAATTAATTAGCGATATAAAACCTTTGTAGTTACTATCAAGTGAGAAAAACAAAGACGGTTGTAGTAACTGTGACTAGTAATGGATAGAAAGAAATTACTCTGTACCAGACACTCACGTCATCTAGTGAACCTCAGAAGAGAGAGTCTCCTGATGAACGATCATGGTTCAGAAACCTTTCTAGAAGGTGCTGGACTGAAATTTAAAGGAATGCAGAGAGCACAGAGGAAACAGACAAGAGGAAAGCAGCCGAATACAGAGTGTCAGGAATGCACACAACACCTTAGGAGATAGGAAGTAAAATAATCCAACTTTGACTGTAGCGAGTTTTGCAGTGAGGGGCAGGTCAGAAAGGTGAGTGCACTGCGCTCTGGTGGTGGCTAACAAGTTGAGAGGATCCTTTTGGAAATAGGAAGTAAGAGGCTTCAGTGGGTAATTTGATGAAGAAAGAAGCTTTTTAGGAAGATTTACTCCAGTGGCAATATATGAGACAGACTAGAGAGGAAACTGGAGGCTGGGCAATGAGTTAGGGGACAGCTGTTGCAACAAGCCAGTGAGGAGATAGCTATGGAAAAAAGGAGCAAATGTCGAACATTTGGGGAAAGCAACTGTAGTTATTGACTGACTGCAGAAAATGAAGGAAGGGGAAGAGTCCATGATTGTTGCTGCTAGCGTTTTAATAAATTAATTAAAGATGACTGTACTTCCATTTCTGTTTGGCCTTATTTTCAAACTTAATTTAATTTTTCTTTGCAGATACATGAGATATTTCTGCAGATATCATTAAATATATATTATGTATGTTGAGGTTGTGAAATGTTTCCACTGTCCTGGGTTGACAATGTACATAAATATTGTTTGCTTTACCATTCTCTTCAGAAAATAATATTATGTTCTTGATTGCAACTGCTTGTGTGAAAACACCCTAGAGACTTCTTTGGTTTAAAGCAAGGGGTAAGGGAAATCCCTGTCATAGTTGCAGAATGATCTCAGTGAGTTTTTCTAATAACACTGATAATTTGTACGTAGTGAATCTCTTGATACTCTACTTTGTCTGCAAGGCCATTAATCCTAAGAATTCTGCTTTCTCTCTTAGGCATTCTTTCACATTACTCTTCAACTTCTGTTAACACTTTCTTGTCTTCCTGTAACATCATGAATAGGTTTTTGTGCAAAGACAAGGTCATAAGGACAAAGATAAATTACTCCTTTATGCTGCCTTTTTACTCTTTGCTTTCTTTCCCTCTCTTCCAGATATAGCTTAGTTTTGACTCATGAGATTTTTACTTTATGGTAAAATAATGTCCATGCCTTTCCAAGACTCCTGTCCATGCCTTAACGTCACTCTTGAAACTATGTGTATCCCTTTACCATTACAAGCTTCTTCTCTAAAGTACTCTTTGTTTCATCTAAATCCCCTGGGTATTGTGTCTCCACTCATCCCTTGGGAAGTTTTTTAATTTCCTCTGTGACTTTCAAAATGTAGTATCACTGCTGTTGTTGGCTTTTGGTTTTGTTGTTATTTCTTTCTTTGTATTTTATTTGTTACCTTAATTATTTTCTTCTTCCTTTTATTTAGGAGCATGGATTTAAGTTTCCAAGCATATGTGTGTTTGTTTTTAAGCGCCGAGAATATGTTCGGTGTGCGTTTGGCTTTACTTAAAAAACAAAACACAAAAAACTAATTTTTGCTTCCTAGTAATTCTCTTTCTGCCTTTGCTTCTCTTTTAATTCAAGGAAACCCCTTAGTAGGTCCTCTAGATTAGGGCAGTAAGTAGTAAAATTTTTTATTCTTTGTACTCCTGAAGATGTTTGCTTTTGAATTTATTCTTGAGTGTTAAATTTACCAGGCTATAAAATTTTAGGCTGACAATTGTTTTACTCAGCGTTTTTAAGTTAGTAGTCGATTGTTGTCTGTATCTTTTGTTGTCAGTGAAATATCTGCTGTCCTCTAATTATTCTGCTGTAGGTTTTAGGATGATTTTGTTATTTCGTACAATATGTCTTATTTTATTCAGTAAAATACACTTTTCATCATAGAAGTTAGGTTTTTGTTAGTTCTGGAAAAAGCTATTATCTGTTCAAATATAGAGTCCTGCCATTTTCTGCATTTCCTTAGACATTCTCTGGAATGTCTATGAGTTTTATATTTAAATCTTACCTCACATTCTTTCTTCTCTCTATTATTCTTTTAAAATATGAATACTATATGAATTCCTCACCTGTTATCTTCTAGTTTATTTGTTCTCTCTCTATTTGCAGTGTAACTTTTGTCACATGTTGAGGGTTTAAATTTTTTTAATGTCTTTCAATTTCAAACTTTTCAATTAGTTTTTTTCTCACATTCCTGTTCTTTCATTTCTAGTTATTTTTGTTTTGCAATTTCCTACGCCCTTTAAATTTTTAATGAATTGGAAAAGTAAAAAGAAATAAAAATCTTTGTAGGGAATTTCATCTTGTTATTGTTTGGGTTTCTAATTCTATTTATTAACTTGAAAATTAAGAACTCACAGAAAATCTGTAGTAGCATTTTATATATTTAGTTATGATATACTTATCTATGGTTTTTTCATTTTATTTTCTTTAAAATATGACCTTCAATAGAGTGAAAGCTTTCAGAACTTTACAAGAAGCTCTCAAATGCAACTATGAACACTGGCAGATCTGGGAAAACTACATTCTCACTAGTATTGATGTTGGGGAATTTTCAGAAGCCATTAAAGCTTACCATCGGCTCTTGGACTTACGAGACAAATATAAAGATACTCAGGTAGGAAATTTATACTTTTATTATTTCATTTTGCTTTCCATATTAATACTATCATTTGATTTTAAATTGTTTCTTTGACTATACACAGGACAATTATGTTAAACACATGTATAAAAAGTATTTTTATACATACATACAATATCTGGTTGATATTCTTAGTTAAATGTAAATCCCAACATTCTGTGGTCAGCTGTGTTTGTGTAATCATAGACTGACTGTTACTGGGACTCAGACTAATAAAGTAGTTTACGTATATACAGCTTGCAGAAATAAAGTGATGTTTTGTTATTTACTACTTTCAGTATCTCAGTGTGTTCTGTGATTTGTAATGGTTGGAGAAAACCGCATATTTACTTACTATTTCATGTTTGAATTCTGTAGAAAATAAGAGTACAACATTTTCTTTGCAGTGTATATTAGGTGGTCCATTCTTGGTGAGGTGAATTCAGAACTGTTTAACACTAACATAATAAAAAAATATTGTACCCTTTCAGAAAATTTGGGAAACTTAAAGTCACCATTTGATTAAGTACACAAGACTTTGTATTTAAGACAGTATACAAAGACAGATATGTTCAGCTTATGGTTTACAAAGTCTGGATGTGAAAATATAGTCCTTTGTTTACACTAATAAATTTACCCTTTTAATAGTGAGAGATTTAGAATTTTTAAAAAAACACAAAATATGATAATACCTCATTACTCTGACTTTTTTTATATTTATTTATGCATACAAGAACTGGGGTATAGGCCAGAGGTGTGGGGGTGAGAGGATTCACCAGAGACAGAGTGGGGAGCAGAACAGGCAGATCTACTGAAACACATTAAGGGGAGCAGTGGGTGAAACACGAGAGGTCCACTGAGCCATGTGGGTCAGCTCCCTGGCCAGTCAGGGATCAAATTCGTGCATTGGCAATAGCTTGATACTGCTGTCTTTAACTTCTGCATCACCATGGAGGCCCCTGTTATGACTACTGTCTGTACCTCAGCCGTTCCAAAATTTGCCTAATCTGAGCACCAGCCATTGGCTAGTATGTGCTCCCTCGCTTGAGGGCTTAAGTTCTGGGCTATTCACTTGAGAGGTCTGTGGCTTCAAGTAGAATCATACCCACTTGCAGGAGCTATGTTGAAGGGACTTAACTGTTACAGTGTAAAGAGTAATTCAAACATGAATTGAGAAGTTAGCAGAATTTTACATCCTATAAAAGAGAGGAGGCCTGGTAAATATATATACACAGTCACCTGACAGTCTACCACTTATCTTGTTGAAACTGTCTATATGTTCCCTACATTTGGCCCGTTGGCAATGAATTCTGATACTGTTCAGAACAGATATCATTGTATTTCTGAACCATTAATGATGGCAGAAATCGTAACATGTTTATTTCTTATTTACTTGAACAGTGATTTTTAAAAAGTTTCATTACTAAGAAAGTGTTCTGAGGCCCGTTCCTATAATCTCAAGGAGAATGCAAATAGTTTACATTGGCAGTCTATTCATTTTATACTTGGAGTAAATTCTATTCTTTCATAATAAAAAAATGTGCATAAAACACTCAAATCCAACACTCCTCATTTAGACATCACTGCTGGCTTAAATCCAGCATTCTTTGGAATTGCAGCTGTCAGCAAGGAGGGACCTCAGCGGTATCTGATAAAAGGCTGTGTTCCATAAGCTATATGCTGAATCTGTCCTCCTGCTTTCCTATACTACTGGTTATACTTCTGGCAGTGCCAACTTTTCCAGAATCATGTTAAGTAAAAATGTATCTAGGCCCTCCCTGGTGGTGCAGTGGGTTAAAGCACAGCACTATGAAGCTATCTGAAGCCACTGCAGCACGAGTTTGATACCTGGCCACAGAGGTGACCCCATGGCATGGCAGACCTCTCCTGACCTGCCAATTACTCCCCTCAGCACTGCCTGTTCTGTTTCTACTCTGTCTCTGGTGAACCCTTTCACTACTCCTCACCTCTGGCCTGTACCCCAGTTCTTGTATGCATAAATAAATAAATCTTTAAAAATATTTTAAAAGTAAAAATGTATCTTTCTTACATTTTTCACGAACAACTGAAAAGAAAACAAAACTTAATTAATGTGAAGAATGGTCCTATTTTGCATGATCACATTTCCCCCCAACTTTAGTGCTGAATTCAACTTTAGTTCTGAATGCATGAAGATAAATTTTGAGCATATGTCACAGAAAAGAAAAAGGCCTTAAAAAAACTCCTTGCATTGATTGATATCCTTGATTTAACGTTTGTCTTAGATTTTTCAGAAATTTTAGTGGCTGTATTTAGTTCCTTGCTTTGTCAGCAAATCTAATAGTAAGGAATTTTCACTAATAGCAAAATTGTGTTCTTGTTTCCATTTAAAATTTCCAAATCCTGTACCTCTTAGCAGTTTCTAATTTCTAAGATCTGAACTTAGGTCAAAGGCCAGTTACTAGAATTTATTTTCAATTTGTGCCAACTAACATTTTAACCTTTTTTCTCTAATTCATTGTTTGTTCCCAAAATTCAGAATATAAGACAAACCTTCTTTTGCACAGTAGTATTTTACCCGAGTGTGGGTATTTTAGTGAGTTAAAACTTGTGTCAATAGGAATTCAGTGCTTTTAGAAATAATCAAGGGCAGCATTGGATTTTTGAGATTTCCCTCTTCCAGCCCTTCTGCCCTGGTCAGCATTGTGGTTCCTATTACACCCAAATGTTGCTTATAAACAAAGCACATTGAAAAGCATAGGATGCTATTAAGATGTTAGATGTTATGGCTTTTAGCTTAATGTTTACATTTGGATTTATTTGGAGAAATATTAAGAACACAATGACCAGCTAACCAGTGAGTCCCTGAGATTGAATTAGCGACTTGAGCACCTTATTTTTGCTGATCACCATCAGGTATTCACATGGAGAAATAGCTACAACAAGATCCTGTGTTAGTTTACTCTGGACTCTAAATAACTCTTTAGAAGTGTCATAAATGCCGATGGCCATGTGTAGGCTCTGACTTGGTTGAAATAACTCCACAGTGACTAAGTCATTCTTGAACGGAAGTCTTGATGGCTAGTGATGGACATAGTCATATTTTACTTCCTGGCATGTTTCTTTTCTGTCTGTTATCACACACAGAGACGATCTGGACGTTTTCTAGAGTATTCTTATCCTTGGCAAAAAGTTTTTTTTTACTTTATTTGACTCTACAAGTTCAGCAGTTTAACAGCAGGTGTCTTTCAGAGCAACTCTGATATTCTTATATTTGACACTACCTGACCCCCTGCTATTTTAATGTGCTTTAAATTTTATATTGTATTTTTCTACTTCTTTATAGATGTCATTATTAGCATTTTAATTTTTCCTGCATTCTTTGTGTGAAAATTTATACCTATTCAATACAGACAGAGTAAGCTACACATGATTGTATTTTTCACCATTTGTAGTCAGACAGTGAGTGGGTGGACGCCTTTACAACCACTGCTTTCCCTCTCTCTTTATGTCCTAATCCTGATTAATGCCTACATTACAACTCAGCAGTGTTTTTCTATCATGTTTTTATTTATTTATTTATTTTTAAAGATTTATTTATTTGTACATACAGAACTGGGGTACAGGCCAGATGCTCAGGGGCGGCGAGAGGCTTCACCAGAGACAGAGTGGGGAGCAGAACAGGCAGATGGAGGAAGTACACTGCTGAGGGGAGCAATGGGCGGGTCAGGAGAGGTCTGCTGCGCCATGTGGTCACCTCCAGGGCAGGCGGGAATCGAACTCATGCGGAAGTGGCTTTAGCTTCTCAGTGCTGTGCTTTAACCCGCTGCGCCACCAGGGAGGGCCAATTTATCATGTTTTTATTTACCATAAAACTAATTTTCATGTTCCTGCCTAATTTGTCCATTTGATTTTCCTGTTTTCTGCTATTACGAATGATGCTGTGAATACACTTGTATAGCAGTTGTTGTGTATATCTATGAGTCTTTCCTCTTCTTTCTTTGATAACTTATACATTCATTTTGGGAAAAGAATTTAAGTATTGCATTTTACACCCCATTTGCTCTTTATAAATGGAAGAAGAAGGGAAGGGGATTAGCATATGTTGAATGCTTACTATGTTTCCAGCATTTAATATGGATTATCATTTTTAGGACTTGGCAATATTTGAGATAAATAATAAGTATTCCTCATTTTATAGTAAGTGTGTAGGAGATCCAGAGAGGCTATATAACTTGACCAGTCATAGAGCTGGTAAGAACTGAAGATAGGAATCACATTTAGGCATGCCGGTTTCTTTGTGTTATGCCTTGAAGTCTGTGGGAAGATTTATATTAAAAAGCACATTTCTAAATCAGAAGCACATTGCAGCTCCAAATCACAGTGAGATACCACTTCCTACCTGTCTGAATGTCTATTAACAAAAAGACAGGAAATAAAAAGTGTTAGCAAGAATGTGGAAAAAGGAAACCCTGTGTGCTGTTGTTGGTGGGTGTGTAAATTGGGACAGCCGCTACAGAAAGCTGTATGGCGTTCCTCAAATTAAAATAGAACTACCACAGGGCCCAGCAATTCAACTTCTAGGTACTTGTTCAAAGAAAATGAAAACACTAACTTAGAGGTGCGTGCACTCCTGTGTTCATTGCAGCATATTCACAATAACCAAGATAAGGAAACAACTTAAATATCCAGCGATGGATGTTGGATAAATATGTGAGATACACACACACACACACACACAGGAATATTATTCAGTCATAAAACCTAGTAACATGTTGTCATTTGTGATAACATGTTTGGACCCTTGAGTACGTTTTGCTAAGTGAAATAAATCAGAAAAACAAACATTGTATGTTCTACTTATATGTGGGATGTTAAAAAAACAGGGAATAGATTGGTCAGTTGCCAGAGGTGGGGGATGGGCAAAATGGGTGAATGGAGTCAAAAGATACAGACTTCCAGTTACAAAACAAATAACATAGTACAGCAGTATGGTAGCTATGTATTCCACTTTGAAA